GCGCGCCTTGGTTCTTTCTAGGGAAATTGCGTAAGATAGCATTGCGGAAGGTGGTTGGGCTTGGGGCGTACGTTCTATGGCGCAGAGGCGTACGCAATCTCACCTGCGCAACGAGGCGTCCAGAAGCGTACGCTATATTAGGTCGACTGCGTAATGTTTTTTGGGCCTCATTAAGCCCAGCTTTTTTAATAAAATACTTTACCGAAGCCTCAGTTATTCATAACATAGTACTTCATACGTAGTATTATTTTTCATTCTTCATCTTCTGGCTACTTCTCAGCAATTATAGAGCCTCCTCTTCTACGGGTACCGTCTCCTCTAAAGCTCTTTTTATTTACTTCAACTGTTATTATGTCTACGGTATAGTGCCTCCTCCCATGGTACAGAGCCTCCTCCACTTCTTCTTATATTAATATTCTTCAACTTTTTATATCTTCTTCATATTAATATATTATTATTTTGATCGGTTAAGTTTATGTATATTAGTATATTCTCTCAGAATTCAGAATTGGTATTTAATGTTAACTTCAACTTTAATATTAAATTACTAATATTTAGTGTTATATAATATAAAAGTAATAATAATGTTAATATTCTCCACTTATAATGTTTTCTGCATATTAATATATTTCATTTTCCATTTGTTTAGTTTCTGCACATTAGTATGTTTATTCTGCGTATTTTTTGGGCAGTCTGTGGTTTGATTTTTGAGCGTATTTTTGCTATTATTCAGGATTATTTTATGACGTTTCAGAAATTTTTGCTATTATTCAGGATTATTTTTCCTAAGATTGGTACAACATTATGATTTTTTTAATATTTACGTCTTAGCTATACGCCTCATTGCGCAATGAGGCTTACACAATATGCAATTCTAAAAATCCGCCATGATTACACAATACGCAATTACGAACATTGCTTACCACGAACACGATCTCATCTCCTATTATCAACTTAATGCTCATGATGGGATCGTTCTTCCTAAAGACTTCAACCACACCCTCAACATAATCATGTGCCACCATAATGCCTACTTCATTTCTATTCCTCTCTCTCCCTGAGTACCACAGCTTAAAACCTCCGGGATTAATCTCACGTGCCTTTTCTCCAACCCACTTAGTTTATTGCATGCAAATTATGCTGATATTCCTCCTCTTCAGAACCTCAACTATCTCAGATGATCTTCCCGTAAGAGAGCCAACATTCCATGTCCCAAAACACATTCTAACACCCTGCCTTCTCTTCTTCACACCACATCGACCCCCACCATGCCCTTGCATATTTGACACCATCCCCGGGTATTGGAGTGGCACGTCGCTTCCGGGTGACTACCTAGCAGCCTTAGCATTATTATCACCACACCCAGGTCTATGAAGTGTAGCGCGCCCTTGTTCATTTGACACCACCTCCAGGCGGAGGGATGACGGGTCGTTTACGGGCGACGACCTAGCTGTAGCGATATTCATATTTCGATTCATGTCATGTGATGTGACTAAGTGATACTGTTGGCCGTCACACGCCTACCACAACACCCTCCTCTTTTATCCTGGTTTGGGACATGCATGATACAAAAAAAAGAAGATCATGTTCTTATTTGAACCAAAACCTATATATATAAAGAGGTCTAAATAGGGGTGAGTTCTAAATACAAAGATGTCTTCCCATGAAAAGTGAGAAGTCATCTAAGCCCTTGATTTCTTGAAAATGGATGGAATAGATCAAAACTCACGGTGAACTTAAATGTGTAATACATAATACTAAAAGTGCATATGTCATATGTAAGAGTGCATATTCACCTCCTAAAAAAATAACACAAACGATTTTTATACTTGTTATTTTTTTCCGAAAAGTGATGCGTTTTTGTGTTACTCCAATGCACTTTTTCTCCATAGTCATGCACTTTATCATTTACACTTTCATATCGAATTTTATAATATTTACATTATTGGCACCAAATTTTCCACTTAAAAATTGATCCGATCAATTCATTTTCTCATTTTAACGGCTAAGATTACTTCTCTCTTTTCATATAAGGTGTACTTTGTATTTGAATCTCACTTTTCATATACTTTATATATATATATAGGATAATTCCCGTCCAGTCTCCGCCGTTTGGAGCAATTCCCGGCGGTTTTTTTGCTGAATTTTTGTGTGTATGTTCTTCAACAAATCTAGCTTATTCACATCAAATTTCAGCTAAAAATTCAATCGGCAAAGCAGTCAAATGATTTTTGAAAGATAATTACATTTTTATATGTATATTTTGGTTCAGTTATCTTCCAAAAGTCATGTGACTGCCTTCCCGATTGAATTTTTAGCTAAAATTTGATGGGTATAAACTAGACTTGATAAAGAACTTGCTCAAAATATTTCTTCAAAAAATTCCACCGAGAAGATCCTCAAACAGTATCTGCCGGACGACTGTCTCGGTCAGGCCCGCCTGACATGAAGATTCATCTATATATACTATAGTACTCCGTATATAGTAGTCTCTTGGGACTTCCTGATCGGAATCGCTGACCAAACCCCACCATTTGAGGTGGTTCCCGGTGAAATTGTTTGGTGAAATTTTATGAGCATGTTATTCATTAATTGTAGATGATGTCCACTAAATTTAAGTAAAAGATTCAATCGGGATGAGAGTCAAATTATTATTTGAAGATAACTACGTCAAAATATACATATAAAATGCAATGACTTTCAAAATTTTATTTTACTTATTTCTCGATTGAATTGTTTTGTTGAAATTTGGTGGATAATCATCTACACCATGAAAAGGCGGCAGCCAGACTGAGGTTCTTGTCCTGAATTCCGGACCTAAACTTTTCCCGATATATATGTATATATATAAAAATATACATACATACATATATACATATATGTATATATATATATATGGTCAGGTTCTAATGAGAAGACATCTTAACGTAAGAAGTGAGAAGTTACACATTTACCTCTTTCTGATGCACTTTTTTGCTAATATGATGCACTTTTTGTGATGACAGAAAAGTTCCGATTAATTACGGAAATGCCATTGCGTCTAGCATCAATTTTTTTAATATTTTGTGCACTTTTCGCCATTAGATCTTAAATTGAACGCACCAGATGCATTCTCACTTCTTACGATAAGCACTCTTCTTATTTGATCCTTATTCTATATGTGTGTGTGTGTGTGTGTGTGTGTAGATAAGATATCAAATACAAACCATGCTTAAAATACTAGCCCACAAACTCAATAATATGCATTACTTTGAATTTCAATATGCAGTAAAAATAATGTAAAGATGCAGAGGTGGGATCACATACAAACTAGTCATCCCATTCAAATCATCTTTACATTATTTGTATTGCACATTGAAGCTCAAAGTGCTTCATATTATTCAAGCCATAAAATAGTAGTTTCATATTTACATTATTTGTATTGCATATTGAAGTTCAAAGAGTGCATCTTTACATTATTTGTACTGCATATTGAAGTTCAAAGTGTTGCATATTATTGAGTTTGTAGGTTAGTAAATTAAGCATGGTTTGTATGTGATCTCACTCCTATATATATATTGTAATGCATAATAGAATCTTACAATCCGAGTTACGATCTCCTAGACTCCGTCCGATTCGTGCTAGGATCTTGAGTTTAACAACCTTGGTTAGCAGAAAAGACTCATTTTATTTTAAAAAATGCCACCAAGTTTTTTCATCTATGGCGATGCACATTTTGATTTGAGATAATGCACAATTCTCAAATCTAACTCTTCGATTCATTCTCATTTCTCTCCATAGATCTTGTTCTCATTTGATCCAAATTATATGTGTGTACTTCCATCATTTGAAAAGGAGTCAAAGATCCACTATTTTTTGGCTTGTGAATATGATGGAATAAAGCAAAATGACTCACCAAACTGGCTGCGCTTCTTATGAAGCAGCAGTCAGCTCATGCAATTTCCGACGTGATTTTCATCATGGGTTATCCAGAAACTGTCTATTTATGCTTTAGTACAGGGGTAAGACTGCGTACATCCGATCTCCCTTACCCCACCATAGGTAGGAGCCTTTGCGGCACTGGGGTAATGATGACGATGATAATGATGTGTGTGTGTGTGTATAGAGTACTTCATATCAGATCGGCTTGATTGGACTTGCCGTCCGGTCGAAGCCATTTGAAGCCCTTTCCGGTGAAATTTTTTATGAAAGTTTTTGAGCATGGTCATCAAGTCTACTTTATGTCCACCAAATTTCTGCTAAAAGTTCAATGAGGAAGTCAGTCAAATGCGAAATTGAAAAACATTGCGCGCTTTATATATACATAAAGTATATAAAGTGCAGTGTTTGTAAATAATTTATTTAATCGTCTTCCCGATTGAGTTTTTAGCTAAAATTTAGTGTACATAAACTAGACTTGATGAGAAATGTGCTCAAAAAATTTTCTATCAAAAAATTCCACCGGTTGGAATCCCAAATGGCCTCGACTAGATGGCGAGTCCGGGCTGATGGCCTGACAGGATCGCTACTCTCTTTGTGTGTGTGTGTATAGAGGGCAGTGCGCATCAGGAGCTCCTGACCGGAACCGCGTGCAGAATTCATTGTTTGGGGTGGTTTCCGGTGGAATTTTTTGAACATGTTCTTCATCAAGTCTAGTTTATGCCTACCAAATTCCATATCAAAATTCAATCGGGAAGACAGTTAAATAAATTCCTAAAATATACTGCAATTTATATATGTACATAATGCACGATATGTTTCAATAATTTTGTTAACCGTCTTCCCGATTGAATTTTCAGCTGAAATTTGGTATGCATAAACTAGACTTGATGAAAAATATGCTCAAAAAATTTTATCAAAAATTCCACTGGAGACCACTCCAAACAGTGAATTCCGAACGGCGGTTCCGGTCAGGAGCTCCTGACTCGAATGGGACTCTTTCTCTATATATATAAACCAACGTTTAACCCCACATTATTTTCATCATCTTGTGTAAGCATCTTTATCACTATTGTGTACAGGCTGAAAGAGAGGGATACATTGCTATTATAATGCCAAAGCCAGTAGACTGGCCAACGACCAAAGCGTCGTTGCTGCTGCTGGGACAACAACAGTAATAAAATCGCTCTAGGCAGACGCTATATTATCTTTGTAGAGAGCAAAATGGAGCAGATTTGCTGGAAACGCTAGCTGGTCAAGTTAAGTTAAATTGTGAAGCATCTGTTATACATTTCAACCAATTTCGTCGTTGTCTAGGTCTTGATTGTTTTGGGCAAAGCTGGTGTATCAATTGGATAATTTTGGGGATAACAATTCTATACCAAAAAAGGATTGGGTGTCTAATGTATTGTTGTAAAAACCTCCTTGGGCCACCTGTTTTTTTGTGTGTTTAGGACAGTATACCGCTGTTTAGGATATTGTAACCCTCCCAGTCTGGCATAATGTGCCTTCCTGCGTTTTACATCATTTAGTCTTTTCATGAGTTATAAATTGATAGAAAAAATGGTTGCCCAGTGCACAAAGGCATTTCCGCTGTGAAATATCAATGTGGCTTACCAATTGGTAGCCCTAGCACATATATTTATAATAGGTAAAGTTTTACAAATTACATAAAATTCCTCTATTTATCATCTATTACACCCCCTCAATTTGTGCAGAGGAAGCAATGTGCAGATTCTCTTTAAGAAAATGAAAATGCTGATATGACAAACTTTTGGTAAAAATATCAGCTAATTGCAGTTGAGTTGGAACATATTCAACCATCAAGTCACCATGCGACACCCGTTCCCGCACAAAGTGATAGTCAATGCGAATGTGTTTGCTACGACCATGCTGAACAGGATTGGCAGCTAAATAAGAGGCAGACACATTATCACATTTGAGCTTGACTGGAGCACGAACAGGAAATTCAAGTTCAAACAACACAGATCTAATATGCAGTGTATCTTGAACAGTGTAAGCAATTGCCCTGTACTCAGCTTCAGTGGAGGATTTGGAGACAGTGAGTTGCTTCTTAGATCGCCAATACACCAAATTAGAGCCCAAAAAATTGTATATCCTGCAGTGGAACGACTACTATCCGGACACCCGACCTAGTCAGCATCCGAGTAGGCAATAACTAGCGTAGGATCCTTCATAGGTCTAAGCAGAAGGCCATGATCTGAAGTGCCTTGAAGGTACCTGAAAATACGCTTAACAGCCAAAAAATGTGAAGTGTGTGGGGCATGCATAAATTGGGAAACTAAGTGTACCGCATATGTAATATCTGGACGTGTCATAGTCAAATATTGTAAAGCATCAACCATATTGTGATACTCTGTAGGATCTGCTAGAAGTTCCCCATCAGTGAGGGAGAGAGTGGTGCGTAAAGGAAGAGGAGTGCGGACATGTTTGAGGGTGTGGAGATGAAATCGTTTAAGAAGATTGAGAACATATTTATGTTGAGAGAGAAAGAGACTGTGAGAAGTATGGGAAGCCTGAATACCAAGAAAATTGTGTAACTGCCCCAGATCTTTCATAGCAAAACACGAGCTAATGTGGATAAGAATGCAGTGATAAAGGAAGCTGAGTTACCGGTAATTATAATGTCATCTACATAAACAAGAAGATAAACAATATAGTTACCTTGATGAAAAATAAATAGAGAGTTATGAGATCGACTACACAAAAATCCTAGCCTCAATAAAAAATTGCTTAAACGATAAAACCAAGCTCTAGAAGCTTGTTTAAGACCATAGATAGTCTTTCTCAGACGACACACATAATTAGGAAATTGAGGATTAACAAACCCAGAGGGTTGACGCATGTAAACTTCCTCTGTAAGATGATCATGAAGGAATGCATTTATACGAATTGCATTTATAGTGACTATGCATTTATACGAATTGCATTTTTTACACGAACAAAAGAAATGGTATTGATATTTAATACTCCGTATTAAATTGTAAGTTTGGGGCGGAAATGCGTATTTACAGCTCATCTGTGGTATATGTGCGACTGTGCATGCCACTATTGAGACGTAGAAGCTAGGTCTTGTTTGAGAACAAAGACCAAAACTAATAAAAATGGTTTAAGCTTAAGGAACATTGATTTCCCTGTGTTCACCCGGTGCCATCAGGATTAATAAAAATGTCCAAACCATTAAAAGATAACTGACACACAATACCATTTTAAGCAATCAATAAATTGCCACTTTTGTAATACAATACAATCAATCCTTGGCAATATTTGAAAAAGAATTTGGCCGGCCGCTTGAATTGCTGTCAGATAGAGTAACCTTATTCTCCAGTTATGAATTTTAAATGTAAAGTCAGAACCAATTGTTCGTTCATCTTCTTCTGAAAATCATCTCAACCTTTGATTTTTATCATCGAAACTTGTCTGGTGAAACTTCTGGCGATAAGATTCTGCCTGCAGGTTTACTAGATTTAAAAATATTAACCTACAATTATACGAACATGACAAGGCTGGTGACGTGTCATTATACTATAATTTCATTGGGTAATAAAAGTTGGGTACCATCACTGCATTTCCCCTTCCATTCACTCTCAATAGATAAATCGTACCCACTTACATATTCTTCATCAAGTCTTACGTTCATAAGTTTCAATAATCGTTTGATATTATGAAAAGTTTTAAACTCATAAATAAGTGTTCAATATGGACTATATCATTTTAAGTTAGAAATAATGGTGTTCTTACTTGGAGTCTTGGATTTATTTTAACCCCATATCATATCAACTCATTCTACACTAGATCAAAAACTTTTAGTTCAAGTAAAAAATCTAAAGTGTCCTAAGCTCATACGTTTTACGTTGGAGAAAATCTTTTATGAAATATTGTCCTAAATAAGTCTACAAAAGAGGTTAAGTTTTAGTCATAAGTTTTGGACCTTTGGTAAATAGGTTTGGAGCATGAAAATTCTATATTGTTCAAACTTTGAACCTACAAGACAAAAAGGAAAAAAATTTCACTTTAACATGTATGGTTGATGTAATTATATTTTACACACTTTTTAGGCTTAGTTTGTAGTTGATTTTAGTTATTAAAGTTCTACTTTTGTACATATTTTTATTATTTGTCGTTAGTTTGTACTTGTGCAGTCCTACACGGGTATTTTGTATTTTCAGGTACTTTTAATGCTATTTGGATACATTAGACTATTAGAGTGAAGAAAAGAAGGAAATAAAAATTCAAGTTGAAGGTCAATAAAAATGGAATTTCCTTGAAAGCAAATAAGGAGTAAATTGAAGAAAAGAAGCAAAAAATGAAATCAAAGGAGCTGGGGATCGAACATACGTCATTTGGCAGGAAGCAAAACCAGCGAGCTGGCAATAGGCATGGACTCATGAGTCAGGCCGAACCGGCCCGGAACCGAACCGGCCCGCTACTGTGCGGACCCGGACCGGACCGGGACCGGTTGGCCGGTTCCAGGCTTTTAGCCCGTTTGGGCGGGTCGGGCGGGCCGGGCTCGGGCCCAGTTTTGGGCGAACCGGCCCGGGTGGTTCGGGCCGGGCCCGAGTCTTTTTTTTCTCGCACTTAAACCAACAATTTCATTTTCTTCTTCGCAAGTTGATGTTAGTTTTCTCGCACTTAAAATAGATTGTAATATAGTGGTGTAAGTACGAGTATCGTCTCCACAAGGACGGACAAAAGGGAATTAAGAATTAAATAAATTCAGCGATTAAAAATAAATAAAATAAATGCGTCGTGCGAGATTTGGTTGATTTGGAAAATAACATTTCTAAATAACGAATAAATAAAGATTTGGTTTCTCTCTAATTAACGACGAAGGGAACAGGGATTGATTCCGGGGTAACCAGATTTCTGGCAGATCAGGTCTAATTACATGAAATTAATTTAATTGAGTCTAGCTAGTCCTCTATCCACCACAACTTGCTGAATTGGATTTGAATCATCCAATCAAGAGATATGAATAAAATGGTGGAAGGTCTCATTCTGAAATTGCAACAGGGATCATCTGACTTCATCGTCTGTTTTCACCTTCTTCCTCTCAGATTCTCGCAATTGTGTCTTCATATGATTTGTAGCCATTGAAGTTGGCTTTCAGATTCAACTTGAATCGTGTCCTTTGGATGCTTCTACAAAGATATATGCTTGACCGATTGACAGAAGATCATCTTGAACACCGTTTTCAAGCTCTATTTGTCTTCTTTTGATCCCGTAACCAATCCTAGAGCTCTTTTGTCATCAAATCTTAATCACGAACATCCCAGTGACCTCTCAATCTCTAAATTCACTCTCGAATGCTTCTCAAATCATCCTGATTGTTTCTCAAGCGCCGGTGTTGGGCTCAAATTCTCTTATTTTGACTCCAAAAGACATAAAACTCGAACCAACGCCTGGTAACATAACTTGAGCTAAAATTGAGACTTGTAACACCTTAAAGCTAGGAAAACCATCACAAATCGATCCCAACACACATCAAATGCATGTCTAAATACGAACTTATCACAAGTTGAGCATTTGTGACCTGCATGCTCCAACTTTGGGGGGTGTTGGATCAATTTAGACTTTGTATGTTTATATTCATTGTTAATCTTGTAATTAGATGTACTACTTTTATTTAACTAGGCCGTGAGCAGTAGGGCTAACATCAAAATGTGTGTGTATATATATATATATATATATATATATATATATATATATATATATATATATATATATATATATATATATATATATATATCCCAACTCAGATCAATGGAAGGCAAGAAAATCAGTTTACAATTTTATTCCATTCATACTTTTATCAATACCAAAACTAATATATACTGTGAGGGATTGAAAATGAACTACGTACACATGCTAGCTATATACGTGCAGTAGACTATGTTTGTATGTACATGCCGTGTCTGCTCATCACGTACAAATAAAAAAAAACTTGTAGCAAAAGTTAAACATGCATGCTGCTAGGCATAGTTGGTAAGAATATAATAAACTTCACACTTCTTCTCTCTTCATTATTTGACAAATTATCTACATCAAAACAGTGCAAAACAGTGTCAAACAGTGTAAGAACAGTGTACTCTACAGTAAAGTCAAATTTATTTTCTTAATTAGTGTGAAGTCAAAGTTTATATTTCATTTGGAAGGGATGGGAGTATAGACTAGTACTTATGTGAATGAAATAAATTTTGGGATCAGTTGATAATTTGTTGGAGAACCATCCTCCTCGACCTAATAATGTTGAGAAAGCACAAATAGATGTGTTGTTCCAGCTCCTTCAAGTGGTCGGAGAAGCCCGCTTCGTGTGCTGCCAAGTCGCGCACCACCTCCTTCACCATCTCATCATTTTTCTTTCTCGCGCACAACCCCGCAATCGCTCTGTTGTGTTCCGTCTCATCGTACACCCTCCCCACCAGCCTACTCATCGTCCCGAAGTCGTTGATCAGAACGTACACCCCCTTTGCGGCCGCGTCCAGCTGCATGTACCCCCTTTCCCGCACCCGTCGCCGCTGGTGCTCCTGCTGCTTCTTCCCCTTCTTCCACAATAATAAAGACACCACCCCGGGACCCGCCAGCACACAAAGGGCCGCGCAGTGAACCGCGACAAGCGTGAAGGCCAGAGCGAGGGCTGCGCAGCCTGCTGCGAGCGTGGCCCCCAATGTCTTGCGTAACAGCCTCATCACCTTCATCTTCCTCTTCAGCTTCCTTGTGCGTGAGGTGAGGCGGTGTAGCAGGGCGAAGTGGTTGTCCTGCACCTCATTGAACCGCACCTGCGAGGCGGTGGAGAGTGGGTTTTTGAGCGCCGAGAATGACTCCAAGTGCGCATACGCACATCGGAGCTGCTCGGCGCTCCAAACCCCCCGCCCGCTCACGCCTTTGGTAGCGCATTTGATGTTCTTGTCATAGTTGGTTCTGGTGTGGAGGACATTTTTGAGGAGCGATTCACACATTTTACAGGCTTCGAGGCTGACGAGGAAGTATTCATTGAGAAGGGGATGGTGATCATGAGGTTGGGAAGAGTAATAATATTGCAAGTCATCATCAGCGGCACCTGACAAGTGGCAGAGTTGGAGGCGGCGCTGTGATGAAGATGAAGAGGAGGAGGGTATGGTGAGTAGACGGTCTTCCGCCGCACCGCCGCAAGTATTGGCGCGGCTCATAATTCCGGCGCCGGTTAGCAGCTGTGTTTGAACTTTGTCGTAGACTTCAACGTAAGACTTGGTTCTAAAAGCTTCCATGTATTCGCGGTTCACGCTTGATGACTTGTTCCTCAAGCAGCTGCCTTCCTTCTCTTTCACAGCTTCATCATCCTTTTTTCCTGCCACATTCCGCCCAAATCAATTACTGTAATTAAGAGAAAATTATATTCCGCTAAAATAATATACGTAATTAAATTCATAAATAAAACACATACACATCTCAATTCGATTATTTTTTATATATATGCATCCCTCTAAAACATTCGATCTTCACATTAAAAGCTAGCTAGCCAGGCCGGTCCTTGAAGATTCATAATTATGAATGAAGTATATAATATAATTAGACGTAACCAGCTACCTAGCGAATTGGGAATATAAATAACTACAGTAACTTATTTACGGCCGATCGATCGAATCGCGCGCAATTAAATAATATACTAGTAATTAATTAAGAGATGGATATTTATTATATATACAAGGAATTGAATTGTGCTTACTTGGTGCTGATTTGGTGTTGGATAGCTTCCTGAAGCTGAAGAGAGTCATGATATGATATATGCAGATGGATCTCGATCAGACGATTCTTTTTGCGAGGTATATAATTAGGATCGATAGGAAGATGATCGATCAATGGATGTATGTATTCAATTGATCCAATGATATATTTATTTACATATATTGAGATGGATCGATATATGAGATGTGGCCGGATGGAAGCTTGGCTAGGTAGATGTACAAGTTGTGAAAGCAACAACCAGCTGGCATTATATACTATATATACATATAATGGCACCTACCTACTATACCTACGTCTATAATAATATAACTATACACGGAGTATATATATATATATATATATATATATATATATATATATATATATATATATATATATATATATATATATATATATATATACTCCGTATATGTATGCCCCGCACACACTCTATAGGTGATGTGTGTGTCTATATATACGTGATGGATGGATGAATGAATGAATGAATGAATGAATGAAACAATAATACCGAATAATACTCATAATGCAAATATGTGAAATCCTCCACTTTTCACGTTTGTTAACGCACAAGTTTAATCATTAATATCTTTTATTCCTTATTAGTAAAAAACTAAAAAAATATTATTTTGAAAATTTAAAATGACAGGTATTTAAAAGAAAATTAAAAATTTAATTTATAATACATCAATAAATAAAATCTAGTCAAAGTAAAATATGTGAATAGTGTAAAAAGTCATGTGGTGCAATTAAAAGAGATACTAACTAACGCTTCTAATGCTAACATGCAAGTGCTTCAAAGATCTTCCATATTTAGCTATATATAATTAGTTTTATTTATTATTGGATAAACTATTATGTCTGATTAAAGACTGAAAAGATTTTTTGAATATTATGAAACTAGTCGGAGAGAAGAGATGAGATTCATGCGACTCTCATCCATGATTTCTTTTATATTAATAGCATGCTAATGGTCTTTATTTACTATTCCCTACTTTATTTGCATGTAAGGTTTAACATACTTTTCACGACAATCCAGTCCCTCTGTACTCCATCAATTTCATTACCGAGTTTTGAGGACAATCCAGTCCCTGAGTTGTCCACCAATTACATTTCCGAGTTTTGAGGATAGTCCAGTCTCTGGGTTCTACACCATATGTACTTACCGAGTTTTGAGGACAGTACAGTCCTTGGGTTCTCCACCATTTATATTCCGAGTTTTGAGGACATTTCAGTCCTTGGGTAATCCACCATTTCCTATGATTACAACATACCGTACTAGATACGGTCTATATCATATCATTACTACTGACTAATCCAAGTATTAACATTAAATCATCATATATCGAGCCTTAGCATTTAAATGTCATAATTCATGCAATTCCATGCAAAATATACGTATATAGGATGGTTGGGGTTAATCCCTCCTCAAACTGGGCCCCAATACACGTTTTCGGCAAAAACGGGTATCGGAACTCGTAACCTAACCGGCGCCTATTCACTGGCTGACTGGCGCCGGTCCACCCGTTAAATTGTGAACTGGCAACACAATGGCCTAACCGGCGCCGATCCACTTTCTGCCCCGGTTCAACAACCCGTTGACCCCCGAAACGCACTCCGTTTGCTCCGAAACTTATACACAATATGTATTAAGTCTTAAACAATCAATAAATGTCATTTTGGCCATTCAAAACATCACATATGTTTTTATATGCATTTTTATTCAATTACATGCATAATATGCCTTTTTAGTTCACGTAAGCCTAATCACCTTAAACATATGTGATGTTTTGAATACATCACATATGAATACATCATTATGAATACATATAACATTTCTTTAGGTAATGTCATACTTAACATAAGAGTTATAAGATATTAAGCCGTTCACTCACCTCGAATGAGCTTTAATAAGTTCTTCCCTCTTTGGTTGAACTCTGGCGAATTAAGCTTCGGCGAACTTTGTTGAACTCCGACGATAACTCTGACGACTCTTTCAACTCTATGAAAGAACTACGAACACCCTAGACAAGTCCTTAACAAGGTCGCATCATCAAAAAACTAATATCAACGCAAATAACCTCTCTAAAGGGTTATTTTTCAGCGAACCGGTTACTTTGGCTTCTATGTTCATTCTTGAACATAGAACTACCTTCCAACCCCTCATTCTACATTTATAAACATGAAGAACAATTCTAGGGGTTCCATACATGACTTATCTAGCCATGAAACTTAAATGAAGGAAGAAAAGATGATCAACGAGGTCATTACCTTAATCCACAAGGTTTTTTCTCACTTTTGCAACTCCTTCTTCTTCCTTGGACCTTCTAGCTTAAGCTCAACTAAGCTATGGTGGAATGGTGTTCCAGGGTTCTTTCCTCTCTCTTCGGAATTCTTTGGTCGAAATGATAGGGGGATGTGAGAAGGCCTCTTTGTCTCTATTGCATGTTGCTTGAGGGAGGGAGGTCCACCTATATATGGTCACACACACACACCAACCCATCCCTCTCAAGCATTCTACACCACATTCCCAAATTATGCAGCTCTTTTAAGTCAACTTTGAGCAAACAAAAACGTGGGGTGGCCCCCACTCATGTGGGAGGTCATCCCAATGTGTCCTAAAATGTACATTCGGTCCCGAAAGTTGCATTTCTCGGACTACTTAAATTATATTTTATTTTATCGGGTCAAATAAAATATATCTCGTATTCCCAATCACTATGGGCCTTTAGGATGAATATAATTTATCCAACTTTAATTTAGTAGTCTCCGGAATTTATTACGGGGCGTTATCTGATACATTACCAATACCGTTAATTGGGCCTCGTTTGACCAACCGGTCAACACTATACATTTTCTATGGCCCAACAAGAATATTTACCACCTTATAGATATTATATAGATCAAGATGAATACAATATTTGGTCCCGGAAATATCGCGTGGGCCCCACGTGAAATTTATTATTCATGCAAAAGTAATTAATAACAAAAAATTACAACCTCGTGAATTCATTAACCATTTCTCAAGGCCCAACAAGAATATTTACCACATTATACATATTATATAGATCAATATGAATACAATATGTGGGCCCCACGTCCAATTTACTATTCACGCAAAAGTAATCACAAAAATTTACAACGTCGTAAATTCATTAACCATTTCTCAAGGTTCAATACATAACTTACACAAAAGTAAATATACTTGGCGAAGGTGTTACAAGTTCACCCCCCCCCCCCCCCCCCCCGTTTGGGATTTCTTGCCCGAAATCAACGTATCTAGTCAAAAAGAAACGGGTATTGCTCTTTTATTGAGACTTCGGTCTGCCATGTTTCTTTTTTGACTCGATCACTCCTCCATAGTACCTTTACCATAGGAATCTCCTTGTTACTAAGTTTCTTTACCTGTTGGCCCATTATCTTCACCGGTTCCACTTCATACTATAGGTCCTCTCGGATCTCTACCGGTGGTTTCTCGAGAATATGTGATGGATCTTGTACATACTTCTTAAGCATCGATACATGGAACACATCATGAATCTTCTCAAGTTCAAATATCAACCTGAGACAGTAAGCAATGGCCCCAATCCTCTCAAGGATTCCATGCCGTGGGGCTCTAAAAGAGGAGGAGGCCCCCGGCTAGCCAACGAATGTATGACCAGAAAAGGCGGCAGCGGACAAAGACGAAGGCTCCAGAGTAGGCGGCTGAACCGGGGATGGAGCTGGCCATGGAAACACCGGTGGCAGATTCTGAAAGAGGGAATAGCTATGCGCAGCACTGCATGTCAGCGAAGCAAATTAAAAGTGGAAGCCGAAAGTGAGGCGAAGCCTGGCATGATGACAGACGGCTGCAAACCTGAGGACTGTGGGGCGCCGATCGAGGCCAGAGTGATAGGGACGCCGATGTCTGCGCTCGCCGGAACGGAGGAGTCCGTTGAGGTAAAGAGGGAGATGGCTATAGTGGACATGGCGTTGAAGGTGTGCGGCGATCCCAAGGAGAGAGAGAATAGCGGATTTTTTTTTTAGGTTTTAACCGTGTAGCTCTCATACCATGTTAGAGAATGGAACAGGTTACTCTCTCAAGAGCCCTGGTAGATTTATTTATACAGGGTCGTCCAATGAATTTGGAGGCCCTGGTTCAAATGACGAATTGAGGCACCTAAAACAAGAAATTATACAAAATTTAATAATAAAATACAAATAGATTAGATAATTCAGTGAAATATAAGTTTTATAATGTTTAAAGTACACAAATAAGACAATCTAAAAGTCATACATCCTTTTGAAATCTGGAATAATACATAACATTAAAAAAATCAACCTATAACTACTACTACATACTCCCTCCGTCCCCTTTTAAATGTCCCATTTTACCACATTGGGATGTCCCTATTTAATTGTCCCATACCTTATTTGGTAAAGCTTGTGTGGCTCAAAATCATTCTTACTTTATTCTTACTTTATCTATTAATATCAACCATACAAACCTACTTTTCTTAAAACTCGTGTCACCCTCTTGCGGGACATTTAAAAGGGGACGGAGGGAGTACATCCTAAATTTTTGAAGACTCCCTATAAAAGTGGATCCAGGTGTCAAACACCTATTGCACCTTCTAAAATATGACCCTGTATTTATAATAGGAGAATATTGTTTAAAATACGTAAGTAACTCTACTAACAACAATCCATGGTTGTTTATAAGTTTTTATTTATACCGAGTATAATACTACGCATTAGTCAAATAGTTACACGTAAAAAGAAGGACATGTCGGTCTCAGTTTACGTTAAAATCCCAAACGCAGTTCTTATACCGTGGGATCATCCCACGGTGAGCACCGTGCTCCACTCCCAAAACGACGTAGCTTTGAACCATTTAAAAAAAAATCGCGTGAACAGTACACGCGTGTACAGTACTATTTTTTCTTTCTTTTTGTCCCAGTAGCGTGAATGATGTAACTCGCGTGTAAAGATATGTAACTTACGTTATTGATCGATGTAACTCAAGTTCATTCGAAATGTAACTTGTCAAATACATAGTATATGAAATGAAATATCGATTTCAATGTAAACAATGAAAATTGATCCTAACAGATCGATTAATTACTTTTTTATATAGTGAATATGTATTATTTTTAATATTATGGCTATAAAAATGATATTGCAGGGGTTTATTCCGTGGTGTAACTCGCATACATTAAGATGTAACTTGCGTATATTAAGATGTAACTCGCGTACACTAAGATGTAACTCGCGCAGAAAAAGATGTAACTTCATGATGTATTTTCAAATGTA